TTGAATTTCAAGCTCTTCAATCCCAGCATACATGGGACTTGGTTCCTCCGGACTCAACACAAAATGTGCTAGGTTGTAAGTGGACCTACCACACCAAGTACCTCGCTGATGGATCTGCTGCACGTCACAAAGCCCGCCTTAAGGCTCAAGGTTTCTCCCAAGAATATGGCCTCGACTACGCTAAAACATTCAGCCCCGTCGCCAAGATGCCAACGGTCCGGATTCTTATAACCATAGCAATGTATCGTCAATGGCCGCTCCATCAACTCTATGTGTCAAATGCCTTCCTTCACGACAATCTCAGTCATACCGTTCATATGAAACAAACTGTTGGTTTCATCGACAAGAACTTTCCGAATCATGTCTGCCGATTACGTAAGTCACTGTACGGGTTGAAACAGTCTCCGCGAGAGTGGTTCGCCACTCTATCTGGTTACCTACAGACCCTTGGCTTCAATTTCAGTGATTCGGATCCTTCACTCCTCATCTACAACCGAAACGGCATCCAAATGTTCTTCCTCGTTTACGTAGATGACATACTTCTTACCGGCAACAGCAACTCGGACATTCAGAATCTGCTGCGTAATCTTCAAAATAAATTCACTATGCGGGATCTTGGCTCCATCTCTCAATTTCTGGGCATTCATGCGGTACCACCTCATACGGGCTTCATCTCACGCAAAGCCAATTCGCTCAGTCCATACTATCCCGCGCAGGTATGTTAAACTGTAAACCCATTTCTACTCCCTCGCAAATTCAAACATCTTCTACGTCAAATTCGTCCGCTGCATTTTCTAACCCAACTCTTTACCGTCAACTTGCCGGATGTCTTCAATATCTCACTCTCACAGGACCGGACATCGCCTACGCCGTCAACAAGATCTGTCAGCATATGCAAAGTCCAACAAATTCACATTTCGAAGCTCTCAAAAGACTACTTCGGTATATTCAAGGATCCCTTCATACAGGTCTTCCAATATTCCGAGATGCACCGATTCTTCAATCCTACGCGGACTCAGACTGGGCAGGGGATGCCGAAGAACGGAAATCAATCTCCGGGTACTGTAACTTCCTCGGATCCACTCTTATATCCTTGAGTGTCAAGAAACAGAACGCAGTTGCTCGCTCATCCACAGAAGCTGAGTACAGGGCACTTGCCTCTGCAGCAGCCGAAATTACCTGGATTCGTCGGCTACTACAGGAACTGAACTGCTCCCAGACTACCGCCACTCCTCTCTTCTGCGACAACGTCTCGGCTATAGCTCTGGCTAACAACCCGGTGTTTCATGCACGAACGAAACACATTGAAGTCGACTGTCACTACATCCGGCATTGCATCAAGAATGACACTATTCAAGTTCATCACCTGTCTACCAAAGATCAAATCGCGGATCTTTTTACAAAAGCTCTTCTCTCTCCCCGATTTAAGCTTCTCGCCGACAAGCTGGTTCAACCTCTGGACTCACCATCTTGAGGGGGGATATTAGACATAGCCAAATATATAAATAGTTTCACTTTACACGTGTAATATTGTAATTAGTTCATTCTTGTATAGCTCTGCTATTCATAGAGCCCTGTACGTCTGTCATCTAATAATATGATTTTACTTCTTCCTCTTTACATTTTCTTGTCCTTTCTTTATTCTTGTTTCGGTTCTATCCATGGCCGAAGCTTTCATATTTCTCATATAAATGGCAATTATTTTTTCTATTAGTTAAACAAAAGAAAATGGGAACGTAGCAAATCTTCTGTTTTATTGGTTTCTTAGTTGTGGTTATTGCTCTTAGACGCAAAACTGATTAGAGCAATGTCTGCTCCCAATTATAGTTTAATTCTGTTCTCCTGTAACATCACCGAAGCTATCTTGATTTTAAAGAGCCTGAGTGATTGCGTAAGCCAAAAAAAAACCTGTACATTCAGAACAAGCCTTCTAAGTTTCCAATGAGGAGAGTTTATTAGTGGGTCATTATTCCACAAAGTGTAAGTGATAATTACAAAAATACTATCTTAAATTACATATATAATACTTCTATATCTATATTAGAAGAGCATCCTACTAAAATTTAAAAGTTTTCGCATTTTTTTTCGGCAAATTTTTATTAGGTCCGGACACCTGACGTAGCTCTACATTCGAACGTCAATAATATGTTACCACGTTCTCTTAATCTTTACCGCGCGGCCCGACGACCCGACCCGGACCTGAACCTGGTATTGCTATGTTCGTGTATTGCTAGGTATTGCTCGGTATTGCTTGGCAATAACGAGAAATACCGATATGTCAAGACCAATACCGAGCAATACCGAGCAATACTTAGCAATACCGAGCAATATATACCTAGCAAAACCGGGGTATTGCTCGGTATTGCTAGGTATTGATCTTGATAGAATGGTATTTCTCGTTACCGAGCAATACCGAGCAAAACCTAGCAATACCCTAGTCTTTACAAATCAGCTAATACATAGCAATACTGGGTTCCAGTCCGGCTCGGGTTGTCGGGCCGAGCGGTAAAGAGTAAGAGCATGTGGTGACATTTTATTGGCGTCCGGATGTAGAGCTACGTCAAGTGTTCTGACCTAATAAAAATTCGCGATTTAGAAGTTGCTGCTATAAGTCTAATTTAAGAGCCGTTTAAACCGCTTCTATAAGTCTAATTTGATAGTGCTTTAAACCGCCGCTATAACTCTTAAAATATTGCTAAAATTCGTGCAAAAATATATTCAATATTATATTTATTTTATTAAAAAAGTTTTAAATTTTTGTTGCTAGTTTTTTGGCCTATCCATTATTTTTTTTTCTTTTTAAAAAGAGGATACTAGCATCTTAGGTTCAAGAAGAGAAAATAATATTGTATTCAATCTACAATCTAATCACAATGAAATTTACAACGGTGATAATACACTACCAAAAAATATGGCTATTAACAACTACGACAGTGGTTTTAAAATCATTATTAACAACTGGTGCAAAAAATTCTATTTTTTTATAGTACATGATGTGAAAATTCAGCTCAGTTTAATACGTTGGTTGGAGCTTTGGCTATCAATTAAGAGATTTTGGATTTGTGATGCGCGTATAAATTTATCTTAATTGACCTAAATGACTAAAAAAAATAACATAATGTAAAACAAGTATAAAATATTATGTATTTTTTATACATTAATATCTTTCTCATTGTTTGAAATGAACTTTATACATTTCCACAAGATTTTTCCTGGAAACATCAACCAACTTTTTTTTTTTTGTGGTTATAACTTGTAAATATCATGAAAAGATGAGTGGTACCATTGCCACTTGTCATAAAATGAGGACACAAGAAACTATCAAACGCTTCATGAAGGGATTGGTTTAAATGGTTATTTTTGGAAGTGGAGAAGTTCAGTTTTGCTTGAACGTTTTTATTATGAGTAAGGGATAAGTAACTAAGTTATCCAATCGATGATTGAAAGTATATTCCTAGTTGTCATGGAATAATTTGACTTCCTAGGTGCATTCATTTCCTTCCTTATTCAAGAGATGTAAGCCTATCTATCTACATCTTTTAATTATTCCAATGAACAATCATTTGTTAGATTTTTTTTTCCTTTTTTAATGGATAATAATTGAATGCATTTCTTTGCGCGGGAGATTTCTATACGAGATTATCGAAAAAAAAAAATCGGTGCATTTGAGTAGAGTATTTTGCGGTGTATTACTCAATGTTGATACTAATACAATATCAATTATAAATAAAATTAAATAATATAATGAAAACATGTTTACATATCAATAGAAATTCTCTTTAGTCGTGCTTATATGATTATGCTATTGAGAATAAAAACATAAGCTGAATTATAATGAATAGTAAGTGGCGGAGCCACAAATCTTTTTTAGAGGGGCCCAAAGTTTGTTTGAAAAAAAAAAATTTCTCAATTTTTTTATCCGGGTTTTGGATCGAAATAGGCAATTTAAAAAAAATTAAAAGATTGAATACTAAATATAAGATGGAAAACACTTACAAATTATAGTGTATATTCTTCATATTTTGAAAAAGATTAATAATTACATTATTTATCAATACCATCCAATATTTTTTTCTCTATATAAGTGAATAAAGTATCATTCATCCAATGATCTCTTTTTTAATTATTTTTATTTTTATTCATCCAATGACCTCTAATCCTATTTCTCAGTCGAGCTTTAATGATAGTCATTGCATAAAATATTATTTTTACTCCTGCTGTTGCAACCGACAAAACTAAAGCGAGTTATAATAGCCAGAAAATAAGAGTATATAAAAAATTCTTCCTGCTATGTATCATTTATATCTTTTAATAATAAGAATTGTGGATCAGATTGCATATCAGAATAGCAGATTTAGGATCACTTGGAGTGGCTGTAAATTTGGCGACATTCACAATATATTAACATAATTAGTTTTAAAATATATTTTTCATCGCAAACAATTCTAAAAACAACCAAGACATCTGTACACAAATGAAAGGGTGCATGTTAGTATTCTGAAAAACAAAACAATGAAAAATTTATCCCAAATAAGTCCTTAAAGTCCATAGAATTACACGAAATCTCATTTCATTGAATGTTGATAGAAAATATATTTTGAAATATTAGAATTTTGTTTGAACTTAAAATCAATATTGATTTCCAAGTGCATCAAAACCATATATATCAGAATCTAGAAGATTCACAGGTTTTTAAACATGTTTTGTAACTTCAAGAAACTGAATGATCATTAAGGTTTCGTTTAATTTTGCTTGTCTTATACCATTTGCATAATTTGTTTTATTTATTTGAAAAATATTCTTAGAAGATTATCATTTTGCATGGTCTCTTCCATATTTATGAGAACATATATGGCCCGATTTGCTTATCAGTTCGTTTATTTATATAAAAATATATATTATAATGATGTTCTATGCTATATTACAATAATAAAAGAAACGATTTCAGTATAATTGTACCAAAGAAAAAGAGAACAAACCAATACTTACAAACATGGCAATGAGACTAAGAGATAAGCACATTCATTAATTGATTAAATTAATAGCCACAGCGAATCTCTTTGAAAAACTGACAGTTTGAAGGGAATTGTTGTTTGAACATCTGAAAAATCTGGGGCTCATTTAGCTTCGTAAGTTTTGCTAAATATGACATAAAAATAAATTCTAATTATAAAATACATAACATAATTGAGATATGAAAATAACCCCCACCCCTATGTTCTACTCAGTTTTTTTTTTTTTTTTTTCTAAGGACGCCATTGAAGCACTTCAACCATTTTCATCCATTCTTCCTATCAAAATCCTTGCACAACTCCTTTACATTCTGTGCCGGAGACAGTACTAATAGAATGAGCAATTTGCTCTTTAATCAAAGTCCATTTTGTTCTTAAAGCTGTGATCTTGATGAAATTTATGCTCACTGCATTCCCAAGTGAGGATTCAGCTGCAGTTGCTGATTGAAGAAAGGTTGAGAGATGTCCAAAGGGTTGTAAAATTGGGCGAAAATGTTTGAATTTCGGAGCTTCTTTGAAGGGTTCAGTTGGCTTCCAAAATCGTCAAAACAATAATTTTCCAGCGTTCTCTGGCGTTTCAGATTGTTTTCAGCGTTCAAAACGGAAGATTGTGATTGTGTTGGTTGTGAGCTGTAGCAGCTTTCATTGTAGTTACCGTTGTTATTTGTGAATGAATAGTTTAAATTTGAGTTAGTCATGGGATCATGATTCGTTAATGGCGCATTCATGGGTGTTTCGAGCAACCCTGACAGCAGAGAGAAATCAGCCTCCTCGACGAGGAACTCAGATACAGAGAAAGACTTGTGAATCTTGCTAGAATCTGCCAAGTTCTTCATTCCTGCATCGTCGTCTTGCTCTCGATCCACCGGGGAATGATGCCGGGTTTTCTGATAGATCCGGCAGAGCACCCAGTCGTCCAACTACAGAGCAATGAGAACAAAATTAGCTAATTTTATCAATTGCTGAAACAGAGCAAACAGCAGATGGAAAAGATGAGTTTCTGCTTTCTTACTCTCATCGATCCTTCTCTGATCTTCAACTGCTTGCTTTGGTTGCTGTGAAGGTTTTCAGCAAGTCTGTACTCGTGCATGATCCAATTGGTCTTCACACCCTTGGGGGGCTTTCCCTTGTAGAACACCAGAGCCTTCTTGACGCCAATGTTCTCCTTCCATTGACTCGCCGTGATCGGTTTGTCGGTTCCGGTCGCCTTCCAGTAACCGGACCCGGCTGCCCTGTTCGGCCGGACTCCGTTGGGGTACTTGCGGTCACGAGGGCTGAAGAAATACCATTCCCTCTCCCCAAACAAAGCTTTTCCTGAATAAAACAGGCATTACTGCAACATTAGATCTCAGGAACGAGTAATGAATGAAATCCAACGGAATCATAATTGCATGGCCTAAGTTTTGCTAATTAGATGAACACTCATTAATTCATTTTTTCATCTGAATCTCAACACCGGAAGAATTGAAGCTTGCCTAGGGATAGATTTGACTATCAAGTCTCACTTAATATAAATCATGTCAGGATATTTTTATATAACTTTTTTTTTTCATTGAGCTTACCAGGCAGTTCCCATGGATTGAATTTGTATATATTGATGTCAGCAATGATTGCGACCGGGCAAGGAGTTGATAACGCCCGCTTGCAGAGATAATGGAGGATGAGCTCCTCGTCAGTAGGGTGAAATCGGAAGCCCGGCGGAAGCGACGGCGAGTTGTTCGACATATTATGGGAGAGAGGCTTCGCTGTTTTAAAAAAGACTGATAACAGGAGCTGGCCTGCAGAAGTTGGAGGGAAAGAGGAGCTGTGGGCCGTTTTATGCGGTTCGGAAATCGGGGCATTGATGGAATTCTTCATATTAGATAGGGGTAGAATTGTCTTCATAAAACTGTTTCATGGTTATCTACGGCCGATCAAAAGTGGGCCGCATTTTCTTCGACCCTCGTACTGCATGGACCGGACCGGAATTGACCCGGTTGTTGAGGACGTCATCTAGTAGAAAATATTGGACACGTGTCTGTTAATGATGTTTTGGGTCAGGGCCCAGTGACGTTTTGCGCCGGCGGTTGTGCGTTGGGAATGTGCTAATAAGGATAATGTCCGTTTGATTTGATATCAAAGGAGCACGGCGTACGACGAGAAAGATTCCTTACGCCGTGCCGCTGGACACGTGATCGGGACATGGAAGTGGATGCGGATGCTCCGAGGAGCGCGCCGTCTGATTGGATAGTTAGTCGAAAGAACGGGCCCACGCAACTTTTCATTAATTTCTGAAATTACCAAATTATCCTTTCCGTCAAAGCTGAATTCTATTTTTCAAATATTAAGATGATTTTATTAGCTATTGAATCTAAAACTTTATCCCGTAAATAATGAATGTCTAAACTTCATTTAATGTTAATTTAATTTACATAATGAATTTTACTTGAAGAACATATTATACTCTTTTTTTTTTTTCATTTTTTCTTGTTAATTTAAATAAATTAGACCACTATTTAATATATAATCTAATTATTTATGAACATTACAGTACTTATATTTTGTGGAATATGTTACTTAATAAATCAAATAATTTATTTTGTTTTTAATAAGATGGATGATCGAACCCAAGCCACCAAAATTATTAAATTTATTTTCAACCAATGTGATATGAGTTTGGGCTTTGATAGTTTGAACCTTGCTAGTCATTGACATTACTTCGAGAGTTCGAACCTAACTTGACAGCCACCGAGATGTTGATGTTTTCTTGAAGAATAGAGTTATTTTAGACTTGGAAACAAACTCTCACAAAATGTAAACCTAGATTTCTCTAGGAATCAACCATGAGAAGAAGCCCAACAAAGCTAGGAATTTTTTGGAAATGCTTGAGGGGTTTCAATTATGAAGGGGTAGATCTAAAATTTTAATCCATAGGAAAGAGAAGGTGAACTCTTCTCTCATGGGTTCGAATTCAGGAGACCATTTTTGGAAAACAAAGGGTTTTCCATTGAGGAACCAAGTTCCATCGAACCAAGCCAATTAATAATCTTCAAGTGAGGAAAATTTCAACAAGAAAAAGTCATCGTTAAGAGAAAGAAGCTTGAGTGTACCTTTGAGCACCCAAGCTCTTTTAATGGCATTTAGCAAAACTTCATAATAGGGCCTCTTTTCAATGAAGTAGTTGACCAGGGAAAGCTCCCTGATGTGTCGGATTGGGCTTTAACAAAGTTCATAGGAAAGTTATTTGTTGTTGGGGTTATTGAAGAGTTTATATTGTTCCAATATTATGTTGAGGTTTCGATTAGAAGGAAAGATTTGGGGATTTTAGAGGGGGAGGGTGGAGCATATGTGGGTTTTGGAGTGATGGAAAGTCTTCTCCAAAGAGAGCACTTGAGCGAAGCAATTTGTGAAGGTTTGTTGGCAACTAATGGTTGAAGGAGTTTTCTAGGGAGGGGGTAGATGAAGGGGGAGGTTATTTCATGGAGTGAAAGGGAAGTGGCGAGGAGCAGTCGTCTAACATCGTCATAGAAAGAGATAGATAGAGAAGATCAGGAAAGGGGAGTCAACCTGGGTTTCTTAAGAAGAACAACTCCTCTTTTAGTCCAAATTTTTTTACTTGATGGCATCCTAAACAATCAGGTCAATTTCAGTCCAGTCCATACAATATGAAGGTTGAAGAAAATGTGCCTCAGTTTTGATCAGCTGTAGATAACCATGAAACTATTTTAAGAAGACCATTCTACACATATCAAATTACCATAATTATTTACATTTCCTTAATTCTGGATCGCATAAAATGGTTTGGAGATCGCCATCTCCTATTATCAGTCTTTTTTAAAACAGAGAAGCCTCTTTCGCAAAACATGTTGAACAACTCGCCATCAGTTTTATTGGGCTTTCGATTCCACTCTACTCAATCTCGTTCACCAACTATTAAAAGGCTTAATTTGTTAATTCCATTATGAGTTGCTCCTCCGTCTCACACATTATTATGAGGACCATTAGTCAAAAAATAAAAAATGGAGAAATTTTGATGAGGTTAATGAGCTCATATATATGTTTACACTGCAGCATAGCATTTTCATTAGATGATAATGAGTCTCGTCCTCACTCTTATGTTTAGACATATACACATCCTGGATGGTCATCCTGGCAACTGGATGTTTCACCTTCTTCTTCAAATGCACACCTTTTGCCTCTATGGGTGATCAATTGGACATCTCAGGTCTAGCCATTTTGAAGTTCTTTTGAACTTTTATTTAAATAAGCATTTTGATTAGCATTGGATGTTATTTGCTTTTGAGCATTATGATTTTTTAATGTAGCTTTTGTGCTTAGTTTAGATAATTTTGAGATGTATACCAAGGTTATCCCTTTTTGTAATTATTTTGATTTGTAATGGAAAATGGCTAATACCTCATTTTCCCCAAAAAAATCAATATTTATCAAAAATTATACTTATATGTTTTTTTTTTAGTTATAAGAAATAAATTGTAAAATATATAAATTAAACCATTGATCTTAAATAATTTTTTTCTTAAAATGATGAATAAAAATCATAAAATATGTGACTTAAATTATTGATTAAAAAACATAATCTTATTTTACAATGAATCCTCATCTTATATAACATTTTCGTTCTCCTACCTTTCTAAGTTCGCATCTGTTATAAGAAAAAATAACTCAAAAGCTTGTAAAGTATTTCTACTACTTATTATGACCAAGCCTATATTTGTAAAACTAAAAATTTACTTAAAAAATGACAATTGTTCTGACAATACTAAAAAGATGTTCTTACTATTAATTCCTAAGGTGGGCTTCATAGTTTATGAGCTTTTCATGTTATTCTTCAAAAGTGAATGGACTCTTTCGTAAATGTATGGTCCAACATAGATCTTTGTATTCGTCATCGAGAATGTCAAGAATTTTTAATGTTAGGTCACCTTCATCAATGGGATAGCTAAGCATGGCTAGCTTGATAACTTTAATACATTGCATGTACTCAATGATTGATTTCATTATTTTGGTAAGAAGATGGTCTTCTTTTTATTGGAGGCTATAAGGGCTTAAGGGTGAAATTCAAATCCCATTCTGAGTAGTTAGAAGTGTTAAAATAACTATCATTAATTATCCAAATTATTCATAATTAAATGATTATTTTTCATGGTTTTTAAAACTAACAAGTTTTAATTTTAATTTAGCATTTAAATCTAACCATTACTCAGTTTTAATTTAAGGATAAACACTGATCGTTTCTTAGTTGTAATTAAGCTTTTAAAATCAAAATTATAATTTTTTCTATGATGGGTAGCAATTAATTATGAATTTTTATATATTTTGGATGCCTAAGCCTTTCTCTCTACAACTTCTAAAAGGAAGAAATATACACAAATATTTTGGGAGAGGAAAAGTTTAGAAGAAATTAAAATTAGTGTAGAACATAATCAAATTTTGATGACTGGAGGTATGTAAAATTTGTTTATGAATTAGCTTCAGCATCTTTTGTTTTATCGATTCTATATTTTATAAACTTCTATTGAATAAAATAAATATTATTGACTTTGAGAAACTTTTGTAGGATGACAATAAATTTTCTTATATTTACTCTACCTTGAAAATTTAATTTTATTTCATAGAAGAATGATCACATAAAGATCTAGGATTATTTGCCCTTTATCATAAAGAAGGTTATAAATTTTTTGAGTTAATATTCATGATTTAAAACTCAAATTTTGATTTTAAATATAATTATGATTCTTTTAATAATTCTAAAATGATTGAATATTTTGGAATCAAAATTTCAACTTTATTCTATTTATTTATTTATTTTTTGGAAATTGGCTTTTTATAGGAAAATATAATTTACTTTAAATTGAACATTTGTTTAGTATATGATGCTATTTTATATCTTGTTTAGATTCAATTAGATTCAACCCGATGTTACTTAAATATTTTTCTTGTTGATATTGATATTTTCTACAAGCAACTACCATTATTATTGATATGCATTTCATAATTTTACTAGTATTCATAAAATTACAAAAAAAAATGCAAAAGTTTAGATTGAAAAGATTTTGTATTAAAGATAAAAATATCTACTGGCATTCATGATTTAGTCGATCAGTATAATAATATCAGAGAGTTCATTAAGATAATTGATAATTGATTCAATATTTCAGAAAAAAAAAACTCTTACTTGTATCCTAGTTATGTAGTTTTCATCCATGAAGTTATATGGAATTAAAGGTGTGTGAGAGCACATAATACAAATGCAAGATATTGCAGCTCAGCTTAAGACCATGTTAATTGATATGTCTAAGTTTTTTTCTAGAGTACTATATTTTGAACAATCTTCCACAACAATATAATCCTTTCAAAATATCCAATAATACACATAAGGATAAATGGTCAGTTAATGAGCTTTTGATCATGTGTGTTCAAGAGGAGGAAAGGTTGATTAGGGAATTGAGAGAAAGTGCAATGTTAGCTACATGAAGAAAGTATTAGAGCCAAGACAAGAAGAAAGGGAAGGGTAAAGTATCACCTTAAGCTGATATCCATAAGGAATCAAAGTTTTTCTTTTGTAAAATAATAATAATAATAATAAACATGAAACATAAAAAAGGATTGCTTCAAATTCAAAAATTAGCATGACAAGAAAGATAAAATAATCACATTTATCTGCTAAGAATCTAAAATAGCTAATATTATTTATAACACATGGTGCATTGAATTAGGTTCTATAATCCATATGTGTAATACTTTGTGGGGTATATAAAATCTATATAAACTAGTGGAAAATGAGTAATATAGATATTTAG